ACCAACAAATGTTCTGCCTTTGACTACTGCGACGTTCCCACGGGCAAAGCCCTAACAAAGACTCTACTTCGGGGTGTTGTAACAGCAGAAAGTTGTTTCATACTAAGACTTTCAGAAGCGAGAGAAAGGGAAGGAGGAAGGAAAGACGGCTTTCTTGGGAAAGAGAAATGAACAATGGTACCAGAGGTGACTGTGAATAAGCGTCTGGATTCGCCTCTCGAGCAAGCGTCAACATCTGCTCTTCGGTTTCTTTTCATCTGAGCAGTGGACTTCTTGCTCTCTGAAGAGGCAGGATGAGAGAACGGGGTCTTCCCTTGGAGGTGAGCGGGTCTCCTAGTTGAATTCAATCCCTTGCTCGGTTTGTTGGGCACAGCCATGCAGACCCTCAGCTCTCAGTCACGTTTCTCCCAGGGTCAGTGTGAATGAGTTTGCAGGAAGTGCTCTCTACCAGCCACTGTCCTGGCTGGGTGACAGACAGGTCACAGCGTGTGTCTTCTGCATTCAATGTCTGCCTCCATGGCCCAGCCAGGCTCCTTTCTTTAAAAGTGGGAATGGTTCAATCCTTGGTTTATCTCTGAGAAACAGTAAGATCAAGTTAACTCCTCAAAAAACAGAAACAAACCAAAAAACCCAACTAACTTCAATGTACCACGAATTTCCACTTCATATCAAGTATGAACATACAATATTCCACTTAACAAAGTCTGCCGGCTTATCTGGTGCTAAAGGAGCCCTGGTGGCTTAGGGGGTGATGTGTTGCGCTACTAACTACCAAGTCAGGAGTTCAAACCTACCAGCCACTCTGCAGGAGAAAGATGCTTTCTGCGTTGGGAACCCACAGGGGCAGTTCTACCCTGTCCCACAGGGTCACTATGAGTTGGAATCCATTCAGTGGCTGTGAGTTTGGTTTGGGATCTAGAGCTGAATCTTTGAGTAAAAACTAAAGATGCCAGTTCCTGTATTAGGAGAGCAAAGGAAAGACGGTTAAGTAAATGAACAAATATAGACTGGTGACCTTTCTCTGTACATGTAACCTATTTAATGCATACCATTGAGGTAGAGAGGAGCCCTGGTGGCATAGTGGTTATGTGTTGGGCTGCAAACTGCAAGGTTAGCCGTTCGAAACCACCAACTGCTCTAAGGGAGAAAGATGGGACTTTCTACTCCAGTAAGCAGTTACCATCTCAGAAACTCACAGGGACAATTCTACCCTATTCTACAGGGTCGCTATGAGTTGACATTGACTTGATATCAGTAAGTTTGGTGGGTTGCTTTTTTGTGTGGGGGGGAGGGGGTTATGGAGGTGGACCCTGGTGGCTCTGTCCACTAATGGTTGCCAGTTAAAACTCATCAGCCACCCCAAGGCAGAAAGTTGAGGTTACAGCCTCAGAAACTGCACAAGGTCACTGTGCATCAGAATGGACTCAATGGCAGTGAGTTTGGTTGTTGAAGAAACGTAGGTGGAGCCCTAGTGGTGCTGTGCGCTAAGCCCTTGGCTACTAACCACAAAGCCAGCTGTTCAAATCCACCAGCTGCTCCTCAGGAGAAAGATGAGACTGTGTGCTCCTGTGAAGATTTACAGCCTCGGACATGCTATATAGCAGTGGTTCTCAACCTTCCTCATGCTGCAACCCTTTCATCCAGTTCCTCATGTGGTGGCGACACCCCAACCATACCATTATGTTCGTTGCTACTTCATCACTGTCATTTTGCTACTGTTATGAATCGGGCAGCCCCTTCGAAAGGCTTGTTCGACCCCCAAAGGGGTCGCGACCCCACAGATTGAGAACCATTGCTATATAGATTCATAATTAGTTGGAATTAACTTCATTGCAGTGGGGTATTTTTTAATTTTTTATGCGCCAGGTGACAAGAGTTCTGGCGGCACAGGAGTTAAAGTTCTCGGCTGCTAACCAAAAGGTTGCCAGTTCAAGCCCACCAGCTTCTCTGAGAGAGAAATCTATGGCAACTCGCTTCCATAAAGATGTGCAGCCGTGGAAGTACCCTGTGGGGTACTATAGGGTCGCTATGACTCGGAATCGAGTTGAAGGAAATGGGTTTGGGATGCGCCTGGCATTATTGCTTGACAGGTTGCAGGGAGCTGGCAGCCTGCTGCTGCAGTGACCTGGGAGCCTAGGCAAGAGGACGAGCAGCTAGCTGTTCCAAAGAAGACGATCCCCCCGAGAGGCTGTGATGGTTCGCTGGGGCTTGCCGGGTGCCTCTTTGTCCATCTTTGTTTTCCACCGCCCATCCTACCTCGTCACGTGAATGTTTGAAAAGAAACCAGATTCTCCCACTGGCTGTCAGCCTACTTGGAAGAGAGGACCTTAGCGAGCATGCCTTCGTTACGCTGAGTTCAAGTAAGATTCAAAGGGTGCTGGGCCTTTAGAAGAGGAAATGCCTTTGGAGACCTGCTGAACCTTGTAACGCTGTGTTTCTGGCAC